GAGAGAGAGAGAGAGAGAGAGAGAGAGAGAGAGAGAGAGAGAGAGAGGTCCGAGTCCCCTCTAATCGGATTAGGCGACTATAGGTTAACAGCCTGTCTCTCTCCGCCCCACATGGGACGGCCGTGTGCGCAGCACTTGTACTATCTGCTGTAGCGTCACTTTTTTGCAAAAACCCGAAACGTATTTCCATTCACGTGTTTTTTGACCGAATAGCTGTGACTACAACGCAACGTTGTTTCGTTTTGGGTTCGCACGAAAGAAGATTTCACTTCTTGGCGCGTTCAGGGTCTCAAACGTGTATTATGTCAACTCTTTGAAAAGGACTAATGGTAACTGCACGCGCAACATGCTTAACTAGAAGGCCCATAGCGTACCACGGGTCAAGGAGTTTGTGTAATTTAGGCTCCCATAGGCGATACAAGTGACTTTTTTTCAGGGCAAGCTACGATACTCTGGTTCCGCTCTCCAGTCCCATGCCAGCGCCCCGCGTGCCAGGCTGCACTCTACCCCGAGGACAGTGCCCTAGGCTCGGGGGTTAGATGGTGCTGATCACGGACGACAGGGATGGAGGAGGCGTTTCGTCGGTCCGGGTTAAACAGCTCCATCAGCAGCATAAAGCCGGGGGGAACATCACCCAGGTCCACCCGACTGTTGTCGAGGAGCCGCTGTACAAATCTGACGACGAGAACTACCTGGGCTCGTGCGAGGAGGACGATGAAGAGGAAGACGATGATGCATTCGAAGAAGTTGACTTTGAGAACTTGGAGGACTGTCGGAGTATCGCGTCGGACGACTCCTTCTACCCGCCGGACGACGTGTTCGCGGACTCGGAGCGCACCCCGTCTCCGGAAAGCCCGGAGCCGCTGTCCTTTTTCCAGGCGTGCTGCACCAACAACGCGGCTATCGTCCGGATAATGATGCGGCATGGAGTGAAGGAGGAGGCGGTGAACGAGAAGGATAGGAATAACAGGGTATGGCATGCAGCCCACTAGGACCACTTTTGAGTAAGCTAAACTTCACACAAGTAGCGTGATTTAGCTACTGTAATAGAGTACTTTTAGTCCACTTTATCACAAAACAGACTTGTGCGATGGACAAGGCTTTGTTGATGTTTTTAGTTCAGTAAAGTTAGCTGAATTAACTCTAATTTAATATGGTATTTTTGGTTACATAACTTATGGAGAAGTTATGCAGCAAGTAGGCTTATTAAATGGTCTTGCTCAGGGGCACTACATCTTTTTTGTCTATTAGCATCAAACTTTCTGGCCTCTCACTGAAACACATACTTCAATAAGTATGTATCTTAATAATTGCAACAATTAACAAACAATCAGTTAACAGTCAAATATCCCTATGAGTCTTTAAAAAGAGATGTGTGTTGAGTAGCCTGTTTGTTACCAGGTTGCCAGTTGGCTTGAACAGGCCACATTTTAAATCTTCCATGTGTTTTCTTTATTTCCTTGGTTCCAGTCATATTTATAAGTTTACACCTCTATCCTGAATCATTTTTCATACCAAACTGGTATTTGCTGACAGGTCTGTGCATGTGTGTGTTGACTGACCTCAGTTTTGCAAGAGGGAGGCACTTCAAGCTCTATAAAAACACAGAAGTCTCACGGTTAGCAGAACACTCAATCCTCTGTGTGTGTGAGAGAGAGAGAGAGAGAGAGAGAGAGAGAGAGAGAGAGAGAGAGAG